AATGTGTGTTTTTCTGTGTTCAGACCTAACAATAAACATATTATCTGTAATAATCTTCACCTTCTTTGTAAGGCTGATCTAAATCCAAGCTCAAACACTGCACCACGTGGTGTTTATGGGATAATGAGAAAAAATGATGTGCAGTTTGCTGGTGCTGCCTCTCACATAATAAATAAAAAGCAAATGATTAGAGGTGTTGCTGTTGTTTGGACAGTCTGTGAATATCTTGTGACTGGTATTTGAAGTTGTGTATACTCTTTCCACTTACTATGATGAGCATCCACGAGGTGTGTTGGTGTGAAAGGACAGTTTCTCCACACTGATGCAGTAACTCCAGCCTGCAGCAGGACGCACTGCTGGGCGTGTGGACGTGCCGCTGTGCGCATCCTCCTGCCTCCCTCCTCCTCCGGCGCTCACAGTTCGTCTTCTGATTGGTGGAAACCAGCAGGAAGAGAGCTGGGGTCGTGAGATCTGCCAAGTTCGAGACCGACCAGATAACTCTTCAAACCTACACCCGCCGGCCGCAGTCTATCCCTCCAGGCTACTAAGAAAATACCGCGCCCGGGTCTTTGCAGCCTTTTTGGGAGTTGCGGCGAAATCAGGATTAATCTGCGGACACTGCTGCCGCATTTGAGGAAGAGTCACTCACTCCAAATATTCCGGAAATACAGCGCAGAGGGCATCGGTGTGAGGATGGCTGCGTACAAGCTGGTCCTGATCCGCCATGGAGAGAGCTGCTGGAACCAGGAGAACCGCTTCTGCGGCTGGTTCGACGCGGACCTGAGTGAGACCGGGGAGCAGGAGGCGAAGAGAGGAGGACAGGCGCTGAAAGGTACTGTCCTAGGGCCTAATCGGGCTTTCTCTCGGTCATTGGATTAAGCCGTTGCGAGCTTATGCAACTCTGCCGGATGGGGAAACAGGTAGTCGGCCCACTGCGACACAAGACTAGCCAGCAGCAGGGGAGGAGAGAGTCGGGGGAGGGTGGTGGCTAGATCATTGTATTCTTCATTAGGCTGGATGGTTATAAGAAAAACATAAACTGGAGTGGGGACACATTTGTAGAAGCATTTAGATGTTGCAAATGGTTTAATAAAACCTCTGTCAGTCTGGCACAGAGCCCATGATGGTCCCACACTCTAGTCAAGACAGTCTGGAGGCCCCTGGTGCTCCATAGTGTAGGTTTTCCTTAACACAACCAGTCCCAGTAAAGAGAAATGACAAATGATTTAATGTGTAATATGGAGTAAATGTATCAGCAGAGGTGCCATCTACTGACAGGTACCCATGGGGATTTTACTGAAATGTAGGGACTTTTTCAAATGTACATCTCAGACATAGCCTACTCATTCAGATGTAGTGTCCCACAGATTCAGCCACAACTTAGACCAACACTAAACACTGGCATCTGATGACTTCAAGTCAAGTACAAAATGTGGTCACGCACTAACAGCAGATTATCTGTATTTGTGGAATAGCATGTTGTATCAAAAGATGTCACTACTTTTACGGAAGATCAATGGAAAGATTTGTCTTTCAGATCTGAGGATTAATGGAGAATAAGACCACACTGCTGAGCAAAGAAGTTCCTGATATCAGTGCAGATTACTGCTCTTTACTGAGGGTAATGCTGCTATCCACTGTGGAGGGGAAAGGCAAACACCAGAACAGTTTTACTGTACTCCTTTTAGCCGTCCACATTATTTCAGGTGTTTCTTTCTGTTGGTTGCCTGTGTGACCCAGAAATCCTCTGCGGGCACATCCTGCTGAGTCCCATGATGTAGCACTGCCCTTGACTAAGCAAAAGCAAATGTATAAATGTTAGGAGAGAAGCAGTAAACAGCGCAGGCACTCAGTGGGTTGAGTGTAATGTAGCTGGGATCATAATTTTTCCTCTCTGTAGCAAAAAATACATTTGATTTGAATGCTGCCTTGCACTTACAAATGCCAGTGAACACTTGCATTTACCGTCTGTTTTGTGTCCTGTCTCTGATTCCCCTCAGACGCTGGCTATGAATTCGATATTTGCTACACCTCTGTCCTGAAGAGGGCCATCCGCACCCTGTGGTTTGTTCTGGACAGCATCGACCAGATGTGGCTGCCCGTCCACCGGACCTGGCGCCTCAATGAGCGTCACTACGGTGGCCTGACTGGGCTGAACAAGGCTGAAACTGCAGCTAAACACGGAGAGGCCCAGGTTAAGATCTGGAGGCGTTCTTTTGACATTCCTCCCCCGTCCATGGATGAGGATCATGATTTCTATCAGAACATAAGCAAGGTGAGGCCACAGGAGAGTACTGAAGGGTCTTTGTCTCTTATAAATGCAGACATCTTTTATACATCAGTCTAAGTCTACATCTACAACATTAACTTTCTCTTTCGTCGTAGGACCGGCGTTATGCTGACCTGACCGAGGACCAGCTTCCCAGCTGTGAGAGTCTCAAGGACACTATCGCCAGGGCACTGCCCTTCTGGAACGAAGAGATCGTTCCACAGATCAAAGAGGGAAAAAGGGTGCTGATTGCTGCCCATGGCAACAGTCTCCGGGGCATCGTCAAGCATCTGGAGGGTAAGAGACAAAGCAGTGCCAAGAAAGTTTGCATTTATTGACAACACTGAATCAAGGAGTTCCCTGTGTAATAAAAAAAAATTAAGAGGGTTATTTTATAAAATCACAGTCTGAACCGATAACAGATGCTGAAAAACTCAATTGGTGCAGCCTGAAGTATTTTAATTTCAGTGATTGAGTCTTTCTTATAACTCTCTGTGGGACTCATAGTTGATTTATCTCTAGTGTTGCAGCTTATGACTTTCTTTTAATTAAACTGAATTTATAATTCTACTGCTGTTTCAGCTGAGAGTTTAATTCTTGTCCAAGTGTTGAAAATGCTCAAACAACTGGTGACACAACATTGTAAGAAAAACAAATAGGGTTTTTTAATTAAATTTTTATATCAGGAACACTGTCAGCTCTAAACCCCCGCCTGCTTCTGTGTCTTCAGGCACGGTCACATTAACAATCTGTTCTACAAAAATGTGACTAGTGGGTTTGATGGTTAGATAACTTGAAAACAATAATTCATACCATCCATATAAAAGCACGATATTCATCTGTCTTCATTGGTTGAAAGAACTTGAATTGGGTTTCATGTGCTTGTTACACTTTAAAAACATTTGTGAACAACTTTCTATGAGCAAGACGTTTTTGCCATCATACTTGGATAGCATCAGCTGTTGAAAACCTAATAAACCATTTCAAATGGTTACATCTGTTACTCTTCCCCAGGTATGTCAGAAGAGGCTATCATGGAGCTGAACCTGCCCACAGGTATCCCCATTGTGTACGAGCTGGACAAAAACCTGAAGCCTTTAGGACCCATGCAGTTCCTTGGAGATGAGGAGACCGTCAAGAAGGCCATGGAGGCTGTGGCTGCTCAGGGAAAAGCCAAGAAATAGACCCCCCCCCTCCCCCGGATGGGCTTCAGTATAGATCAATCATCTGCTGTTAAGTTATCAAGTTATTACAAGGTCATTTACCGTTACTGTTGTCATCACAGAGTTGCGCACACACAGACACACAATGTGCACTTTATTTTGATAATACCCAGCTTTCACACAGACATACAATCTAGAGTTTGATTTGATTGGTCTTTACTTTACATACTGAAACATACACTTCATAATTAGACAATGGATATCAGCTGTAATATGGTTTGAGCACTGACCAAAATCCAAAATTAGGGACCAGCGAGTGGAGCAAACATAGACTAACCCTGCAGAGTCGTTCCCAAGTATTCCTTCCTATTTACGATCCATGTAGGTGAAGCTCAGAGGGAACAGTATAGTCTATAAAGTAACACTGGCTGTTGTTAAAGTTGATATGCTCTGCACTGCTGATTTCTGTTTGCTGTGGAATTGTGGAAAAAAGAATAAATGTTGTGAACAATTATGTGATGAAATATTGTATCAGCGTCTGATGTCATTTTGCAGTATACATTAAGTGTCCACTCTGTCCTTAAGAATCATAGGGTTATGGAAGAAATGGTACAGTCTCTTATGAAAAATAATAGTTAATATGTTAGTTTTAAAAGAAGACTACATTACATACATGGATTATTAGAGCGATGGATTCAATAAATACATAAATTATCAAATATAAATATATAAATTAACATAAAAGTACACTGTAAAGTTGCTATTGATGAGACTACAGAGATACAAACATTCAGATGCTAAATAACCTGCACACATCAACAAATGAAGCACAAATCTGAGTCTGTACTTCCTCAAGTTGATGCTTTAGGACAGAATCTGCAAATGTGAAATGATTGACACCGTTTTTGTCATTGTGTACTAAAAAAACAATGTCTTACTAGATTGTAAATATTACCTGGTACTAAAGGACCAGTGTGTAAACCATAGTGACATCTAGTGGTGAAGTTGCAGATTGCAACCATTTGAATACTACTCAGCCTTCCAAGGGCATAGGAGAAACTACGGTGGCCGCAAAAAAAAACAGCCAGTTTGTCCGTTATGAGCTACTGTGTACATGCAGGTTCAACGTAGCCTCTGTGGAAGAGGACACACTCATTCTAAGGTAACAAAATCATAACAGTTCCTATATTCATGTGATTATACACTAATGAATACAGACATATATTATATTCAGTCTCCTAAACTGGACCTTTAAATTGGAAAAATCCGTATTAATGGGCAAACCTTCCCCAAGTAGCATCTTTTTAATTGATTTGATCATTTTCAATAATTAGAAAATGATTGTGTTTAATGAATACATTATATTTTTGTTACTGTTATTATTATACGTTGTTGTTTTAAAAGTAGAAGTAATTGCACACATGTAGGACACTGAATTTCGTGTGTGTGTTTGTGCTATGCGTTACATGTGCTTGTGCCTCAACAAACATGGCGGATGAAGTCGTCCTTTTTTTACTTCCTGTCAGTGCGAGACCGGCCAATCAGAATCGACGCGAGCCCTTCGTCACAGCCAATCGGCTGACGAGCTGCTCTTCTCGAAAACATGTCGCCCATGAAGCTGTGTGTTCCAGGTGAGTCCCGTAAATGTGGATTTCCTCGTACTTAGGATGAGTTCAACCACACTTTAGAGCGTTTGTTTCATGTTACTCATGTTGGCTCGAGTACACGTCGCTGTGTTGCTAGAAAATATAACCGACAGTGTGAAACCTGGTAACTATTTCCAGCTGCCATGCGTGAGGTGGGCTTTGGCTTCAAGCACATTCAGCGTTATATTCGGTTACTTTTTCATGTATGGCGAGTTGTATTGGTTGAATACAACACGGCGTCGGTGTGTTCAGGGATATTACGTGCCATTGTTTCAGGGGTAATTGATGTAATACTTATGCAGAGCTGTGAGACTGTTGACTTTTACTTTCCACGGCAGGTTTTATCTCCAGCCCTGCCCATCGCCTCGGGCAGGACAGCAGCATTCCTTCTTCACTTGTTTTGACTCATGAGAAATCCTCTCTCTTCTGATTGTGTGGGTTTACAGTAGGAAATGCCAACGATAGTGACCTTTAGACATGTCAGTGTGCATGGAAACACCCGTTTTTCACAGTAACATGAGGTGTTGTCAGTTGCCTGTAAAAATCATATATCAGAATTTGATGTCATGTTAATGCTGAAGTAAAATGGCTCCAGATAGGTGATTCTAGAGTAGTAATGGTCCTACTCAGATGTAGGACGTATGAGCTCCTTCATATTCTCTGTGCAGACAGCTCTGTGTTTGGTTCTGGATAAGTTTTCATGTTAAGGGTGTTCTTCAGATCCCTTACGTAAATCGTCTTGGGATCAATTGAGGTAGCAGATAGCTAAATAGAAGCCATACTCAGTAAATATATTACATTGTGTCAGTGAGAGAGAGTCTCTGGTTAAAGTCTTCTCACAAAAGTATCTTATTCATAGTTTAGCACAGATGTTCCACCTCCACTACAAAAACACTGACGTACAGTATGTGCTACTTTTCCCTTCTTGTTTGTCTCCAGGTGACAAGCTATGCAGTGTAGAAGACTGTATTCCCGGCACAGGGGTGTACCTGCGGCACGGCTACATATATTCCTCACTAGCAGGCTATGTGCTCAGAAAAAACGAAGGAGAGGAGGTGAGGGGTGTGGTTGGGAAAGCTGTAAAAGCAGTAAGGCATGTAGGAGTGCCAGAGTGAAGGTGTTGCGCAACATTTGTGAATGTGACTGAACTGAAATAGATTTGTTTAGCACCTGCGTTGAAATATGCGCTGTATTTAGTGTGCGACAGGTCTTTTCTGCAGGCTGTTTTGAACTGGAATCATACAAACTGAACTTGTTTTCTGTGACCTGCGTGTGCATTGATGCGTGTTATTTTTCCTATCTAGTTACCAGTGATCTCAGTTGTCAGGGAAACAGAAACGCAACTACTACCAGATGTAGGAGCAATAGTCACCTGTAAGGTATGCCATGGAATCGGATGCTATTTGTCCTTAATTGGATGATCAAATGAAGTGATCTTGCACAGATTAGATTTATTTTCAGCCTTACTGCTCTTTGTTTGGACAGGTGACTAGCATCAACCCCAGGTTTGCCAAGGTCCACATCCTTTATGTAGGCTCCACACCACTGAAAGACCGCTTCCGAGGGACAATCAGGTAACCCCCCCCCCCAAAAAAACTGTCTCCATGCTTAAAGTGTTTTATGTCATATTTCTCTGCGTCATTCCCAAAACTGAGCCCCCTCTCTCTGTCTCTACAGAAAAGAAGATGTGCGCGCAACAGAGAAAGACAAGGTGTGTTTGACTCCACTTATTTAATCAGATCATTAACAGTATTCTTCTGCAGCTTTGTTACTAATCTAAGATGCTCCTTATTGTTACAGGTGGAGACATACAAAAGCTTCAGACCTGGCGACATTGTCCTGGCAAAAGTGGTATCCTTCACCTGCCCTCAGGTCTAAGGCAAATTGCTAAGTTGTAAATTGCTTTTTCAAGTGATGGATTTCAACTACTCAGCTCATTTCATTTTTAAAAATACTAAACTTAACTCAGAATGACCTAGGTTCAGCAACAACAAAATAACCTCCAAAGAAGTCAAGCCATCAGTTATCATCAAGTTATATTATCATTTCACTACGAGTGAGTGGGGTGGGTGTATACTGTTTACTTGCGTGGCATTAACCCTTGACGTGTGATGTCAGATCTCTCTCGGTGACGTGCAGTCTAACTACCTGTTGACAACAGCAGAGAATGAACTGGGGGTGGTGGTGGCACACAGTGAATCAGGTAACTCTCAGTGCTCAGTTAAACAAGGTGTTCTCTCTCTTCATGTAAAATGTAACAAATGCAGGACTCCAGCACAGCACAGATTGACAGTATCCTGTTTGAACACAAGGTGGTAGTAATTGTCCAGATAACCTGAGAGAAGAGTTGCTACTGTACATAATGACGTCATGTTATTAGTCTCAATTTTATCACCTTTCACGTCACGTTTTCTTTTTTCTTTTTCAATCAGGGGCCCAGATGGTTCCCATCAGCTGGTGTGAGATGCAGTGCCCACGGACGCACACCAAAGAGTTCCGCAAAGTGGCGCGCGTGCAGCCGGAGTATCTACAGGCCTGAAACTTGATTCTTCCACATGGAACACACAGCTTCCCTCCCTCCTTGTTGTCAAGCCTCCCGACTCTTTCCTGAGAGAATGACTGGACAACGTGCATATCGTTGGCTACTTCTGGTTTCATGTCTTCCTTAAGTGTTTTTTTTTTTTTTTTTAAATGGCTTTTCCCTCTGCACATTGTGTCATCATTCGATTGTGCCAGCTAGAAAAACAAACAGAAGTAGCGCCAGAGCAAATTGTCAGGACGTATTCTAAAGGGTGTAGTGACATTTTAAACTAAATTCAATGCATGTGCCAGGAACCGGGGTTATTTTAAAGTTGCCTTTAAATTGCCCGATGGAAACCTGTTTAGAACTGTCTGACTCAGTTCACTCAGCATGTCACATTGCAGCTGCCAAACTTTCTAAGTGACCACTATGTTGAGAAGCTAAAAGCATCAGAATTTTGCACGTAGTGAAGAAAGGTCTTCTTCACAGATGTGGGATTCACTCAGTTTTGCTAAGTATTATATAAGATCATCATGTCACTAGAAGGATGAAGCACGTTGCTGGGTGCATAAATATGAGGCTTGGTTAAGACAAGGTCCAGGCTCCATCTCATGTAAAGACAAAAAAACTCAAAAACATGTTGTAACGAGAGAGGTTGTTGTAAAGGGAGCGGCTTTATTTGGTCTGAAATAACGGGGATATGACCAAAGAGCGCTGCACTTTGAAACCTCTTTTGTATGATGTAACGTGTGGGGCTGTATGTTTGTTTTTTTGTTTTTTTAATGCCTTGTCCATAAAAGTGATAAAAAGATTCATTTAGTTGAAAGACATTTTAATCTCCGCAGGCTGGTTTGTTGTAGCTCCTTTCCAACTTTTCCAGTCTTAAGTAAGCTGATGGACACAATTTAAAAGGGAAATTAATGTGATTTGGAGCCTAACGTTCAATCAGAATTACAACAGCTACCATGCACGGAATATTGAAGTACAACATGTGATAGTCAATTTTTTTTTGTCCAGCACATTATCAAAAGTAAAAGCTTATGAGCCTACAGCAAGCAAGCAGTTCCCATTTTATCTTTGAAGTAAAGTGTACTTTGATTTTTCTTATTCTTCTTTCACTTTACAGATGTAATTCATGTGCAAGATTGGAATAAAATGACTATCAAAACCACCATCATGTGTCCTCTATCAATTTAAGGGATGTGCTTTTGTATTTAGTAATAAAAGTTTAAGTCACAAATTGTAATTTTAACTGCTCATCTATTGGACTGGAGGGAAATCGCCTTATTAAGAAATTACCTCAAACACAAAAATGCTGCCAGTATTCTCTCAGCACACTGCTTAACATCCTTACTATCATCCATCAGGAAAAATACTTGAATGTGTGTGAGGAAAACAGTATGGGTAAAATCAGTGTGCCACCTAACTGCATGTTATGGTTGTGGTCACTGAAAGTAACAGGATCAAAAAGTCTTCAGAATTTAAGAAAACAGTTTCAGAAAAGTGTTCTTGTCATGTTCTCACTCTGGATCTAAAACATACAGCGGATGTGTTAGCTCACACAGTGGGACTGAAAATCCTGCAGAACAATGACCTACTGAAATCACAATAACAATCTCACAGTCCAGCTCCTCAAGCAGAAGGATGTTTAATATACAATATGTACAAATGTGTTGTCTGTTCATTCTCTAATACTGATCTATATACAAGTCAGAATAATAGTCTGTTGTGAACCTGAGTTACTACAGTTAAAACTGCACATACAAAAAAAAAAACCTAACTTGTACAACCATACACACATCTCTACAAACGCACACACACTTAGATCAGTCATCAAAGCGAACTGATCGACATGTATTGATGTCGATGGAGAACTTCTTATTGGATGGTGCACTGAATCCGAGTCCTGCGCCCCTGCCACTGAAGTCTAATCTGCGTGACTGAGCGCGTTCAAACTCTCCCATGAGCCCTTGCTGCAACTGCTGCTGTGCATCCTTCCCCAGTGCCATGTTTGCTCCTCCAGTGCTCCCCGCAGCCGGCTGGAAACCCTTTTTGAAGCCACCCATCAGCCGGAGGAACTTCTGCTGCTGGTCAGAGTTGTCGAACTGAGCGGTGCTCCACTGGCCGAAACCCTGAGGAATGGAGGGAGACAAATATGAGACACTACGTACAGTAAAAGAGCTTTCCACTGATTTTACAAATCAGTTCAGTTCATTTTACTCGTCATTTTCTTCATTAGGAGTATTGAGAAAACTTGCTTGCGCTTGTACACTACAAATGTATAATTGTACGCCTGTGTTACAGACTGGGGGAGGTGGAAAGCTGAGGGCATTCATCAGGGAGGGTCTAATGAAGATGCTATTGAGTTGCATTATGGTAAATGTAGGATGTAGTGTTTTCTGTGCTTCACCCACAAAGGGGACTAAAATCAGGACACCTCTAACTCTGCTGCATCAATTTTTACCTTTTTTTTTCTCCTGCAAGTCCCCAGATTTCCTAAAAGTGCAATACTAAAATACCATTTTATTATCTTTTACGAGAAAGGCGCTAATACTGACCAGAGGTTTGGTTGTTTTTTTAGGTTGAGAGGCGTGGTCAATCTCCATTTGTAAAGCCTGTCTTCTTTCCTATGAAACACCAAAACACACTTCATCAAGCTTGGCTGAATAAAACAGACATACCAAGCAATTCAGAGTAAAAAAACATTAAAATACCATTAACAGACAATTATACGTTGGCTCTCGTTACAGGAATAGTTCCACATTTTGGGAAATTTGTTTCATTTCCATGCCAAGACTTACATGACAAGGTTAATACCACTCTTGTGTGTTCATCAAATATGAAACTACAGCCAGGAGACGTTTATCTTATCCTAACAATGAAGATATAACCTGTTGATTAGTGAGCTTTAGAGACAGTGGTAGGCTGATTTTTATTTTGTTTTGGACAGAACCAGGCTGTTCTCAGTTTCCAGTCTTTCTGCTAAGCTAAGCTAACCAGCTGTTTGTGGCAGCTTCACATTTAGCATACAAAGATGAAAGTGGCATCAATGTTTTCATCGAACTCAGCGTAGAAACATAGGGCTGGCAGCAGAAACACGCAGCAGTTCAGCGAGGCAGCTGTCACGCACTGATGATGAGGGCACTGTGTGTCCAGCCTGTAATAATGAGTGCCCTGTTTACCTGGTTGATGGTGACCTCATCAGTGTTTCCAGATTTCTCTGACAGGAACACCACGTCCACTTGGGGTGACTCCTGAAACACAGTGAAACACAAGAGAGGTTCACCCCCAACGCAAAACGTGAAGATCAGAGCACATCGTCAACTGCCTCTGAGAATACACACTCACACGCTGGTCTTCCACCTCTTCTTTAATCTTCTTCTTCCTCTTCTTTTTTGCACCAGTTTCAAAACTCACATTCTCCACCTGTGTTTCCACCTTAATGGAAATCTTCTTCCTTTTCTTGTTCGTGGTGTCCCCAGGTGCTGTGGTGACAGTTTCCTTACTCCGCTCCTCAGCTTCTTCGCATTCTTCCTCCTCTCCCTTTGACTCATCCTTTTTCCTTTTCTTCTTCTTTGGCTCTGTCTCTACTTCGCCAACCTCCACAGAAACTTTTTTACTCTTTTCTTTTTTTCCTTTTTTCTTTAGCTCTGTCTTCTCTTCCTCTACAATAACATTCTCACTCTTTGTGGATTTGTCTCTCTTGTTGTTGAGCGTACTGTCTCCTGTTCCTGCTGCATTTTCATCTTCTACAGTTTTAGTTTCTTTCTTTTTCTTCTTTTTCACTTTTACTTCCTCACTCATCTCTCGCTCTGGTGTTTCTAGCTTCACTTCATTCTCAGCCACTTTTGTTTTAGCTTTATTTTTATTTTTTGTTACACTCACTCCATCCATACCTTCAGCAGTTTCCTCATCAGTGGTTTTCTTCTTCTTCTTCTTCTTCTTCTTCTCTTTAACATGCTCCTCAGTCTCCTCTGTGCTTAGAACTAAAATGTTGTTTTTTCCCTTCTTGTCTTTCTTTGGCAGTTTATCCTTTCCAGCTTGCTGTTCTTCCTCCTCTTTCTCTATCTTTACATGTTCGGGTTTAGTTTGTACAGACTTTGTTTTTACTTTCTCCTTCTTCTTCAGTTTCTTTTCCACATCTTCTTCCTTTACTGAACTCTGTTCAGTTTCCACTTGATTCTCATCTTCAGCCAGCTGCTTCTTCTTCTTCTTCTTGATAACGTCGTTGTCATTTTCATTCTTGAGATCAGAACCATTGGCATCATTCAAAGACTCTGTGACAAATTTCCTCTTCTTTTTCTTATTCTTTTCCTTTTCACCACCTCCATCCCGAGACTCTTCTTCTATATCTATAACCACTGAATCAACTTTTTTTATCTTCTTCTTTTCTTTTTTCATCCCTGCAAGGCTCTCATTGTCAACAGCATCATCAGCTCTAGGCAGAGAGGCTTGTCCTTTCTTGGGTTTCTTCTTCTTCACAAAATTCTCCTCACTCTTCTCTTCCTCCATCTTCATTTGAACCCTTTCCACTGGTCTCTCTACAGAAACAGACGTTTGGCCTGTCTGGTGAGAGAACTACAATTACTGCAAGACAATACCTTTTGACTATAGATTAAACTGCAGAACCAGGCTCATATACTCTGTGTGTATGTGCAAGTGTGGCTAACAGAGCAATAAACACTTACCAAGGGTTTGACTACCTGCTTGGGCTGGGACTGCTGATCAATGTCTCTTTGCAGGGCCAGTCGCTTTGTCTGCAGGGGACAGAGCAGAACTGGGCTGAAATGTTTATAATCATAAAAAAAAAACAGACCAAAAACACTGGGTGCATTGAAAATCACTATTTTATATATCAACAAAGTAGTTGCAGGTTCTACTGGTTTAATCTTCAGTTGTGGACTACTTGTGATTCATCCAGGCTTGGTGTTGTGTTATAAAATGTACATTTCTGCAACTCTGAAAGGAATTCTGATTCAAAATGTGATATCTGATGTTGCATGAGACGTCCATTACCTGGTCAAAGGTGATATTAATAAATGTAGGTGCAGACTTTTCAGCCACAAAGATCACGTCCTCATCAGAATCCGTCTGCAACATAAAATGAACACAGCGACCCGGTGGTGTACATGGACGTGCTGTCAGTGTTCATGAGTGAGATACCACGTCCATGGCACCTACACACGGATGCAGACATGCTGAGTTACGACAACTTGAATGAGTAACAGCATTAACACGGTGAGAACAACAGTCCCTGCAGGCAGAATGAGAAACGTTCATTCACAGCACACTCTTGGTAACCCAGGCTAGCAGCAGCAGCTAACGTTAAAGAGAAGCTAAAAGGTTAAAACGATGAAGAAACGAACTAACGAGCCACACGACCGCGGCTGTTGTATTACAGCTGCTGGTGTATGATGAAACGTAAAGTCGGACGGTTTACTTACTTACTGCAACCTCTGATGCTTCACGTGGATACCAGGTTGCCTACTTCACCCGGAAGTAGTTTCTGCTAGTTCCTGTTAGCAACCAGCCAGGAGTCCATAGCAACCAGCGCGAACATGGGAACTTTTCCGGAATTGTACCGAATGAACTGATGTTCAACAGGTACAATCATAGTTATATACACATGTATATAACTATGGGTACAATGGTTGTCCTTTAATTTAGAGTTAGTTTGTTGGTTTCAACTATTAAAGACTATTATTAACGAATTACATTCTAAGGTAATGAAAACACAACAATTCATATTTTTTATATTCTATTTGTGCCAACAAGTCCTCCTAAATGTTACACACTGGACCTTTAAATACTTAAAAACTACATAAAATGAACAGTAAACAACTGAAATACAACACAACACAATTCATTGTGTTTTAAGCAAATTATATTAACCAGTGGTTAATATCACTTTATCTAGAGCCTGAAGTAGGAAGTAGTACCTTATATTGTATTTAATAATTAGGTTAAAAAAAATATACGTGTTAACGGTGCGCATACACACATAATATTACTATTTTACTTACTATAGAGCTTATGTATACTGTCAGTGGTAGAGAGCTTGTACTGTCAATGGTACAGTGTATATAAGCTCTCTACTACTGACAGTATAAGCTCTCTACCATTGACAGTATACATAAGCTCTCTACCATTGACAGTATATATAAGCTACAGTCACATTGTAGGTGAGTGGTATCCACCTTCGACCTCAGCCTCTGCCTGATACTTAACACCACCTTCCACACAAGCACATCTATGCCAGATACATCCCTATCGACTAAGGCTTCCCGGGGCCAGTTTGTCCCTGTTATACCTCTGACAGTCTACAACCCCAACATCCAACTTGCCCATGGCAGCTGTTTATATCAGCTTTTCAGCCCATCTGCACCCTGCCTTCAAACTGCAGTCTGAGTTTTAAGAAGCCACCTACAGCCCCAGCTTCCATCTAGAGCCCCTAGGAGCCAGCTGCAGTCCCAACTTCCATCCTCCAGCTTCTAAAAGCCCAAATATTTAAGGTGCCATGACTTGAATATAGCACAGGTTACTTTTAAAACACTCCCACATGTAGCAAAGGATTTTAGAACTGCTGCTCCATTGCTATTTTGGATGGATAGAGCTATGGGGGAACTGGCTCACGATTCAACACATCAAGCAAACATCGCACACATCTTCACTTGGCTCTTAATCAGCCGAACTCCAAACACTTGATACAGCTATATATATGACAAGTGTAAAACACATTATATAAGAGCAATACTCTAACTAATTTTTTAAAACAAGCTGGGTCTAGAATTACCCTTTAGGGAGAGAGGCTGTAAATAAATCTGTTTCTTTCATGTGTGCACTTTGGAGATGTTTTAGGAATAATCTTTAATGATAATCACACATGGACATCAGTTTTTGTGTTCCTGGAAACCAAACTTAGTTCAAATATTTTGTACGACTTGCAGCATTTCTGTATTTTCAAAATGTTTTTTTCTGTGTTTTACAATTGCATGTTTTGTTTATTTGCAGCATTATTTCTAAAAGTGACACGTGTGGTGAAGATGTTTACGGGCTTGTATTTTCTTAAGTTGCAGTGCATTGAGGTCTCTCTGTCACCACTCTGTGTTCACAGTAGTAGCTGACTGTATAGCTGCACCTGAAGTGGCCGATGCCTCCAGTAAAGTGGATCCAGTAGTGTACCATGAAGGCAGGAGGGTGAAGAAAGATCAGTTCAATGACCAGACAATAATTAATAACAGAAAATGTGCACTGATGTATTAGCCACTTTGTGCAAATCACATTACAGACATTCATGTTACGCTGCCATAAAACAGTGTCAGTGCTAGGAGCATCTGAAAAGGAAAATACCATTGCTTTTTCACATTTGGATTATATACATGATTAAAACTCAGTTATATAGGGTTAATACATAAAAATTCTGTTATAATATTTCCATTGTACAATATCAGAGCACACACCTGTACACAAAAGCAAAGTTGTTGGCAACTTAGTTATTTAGTTTAGTCTTATAGCAAGAATAAATCGTCACAACATGAACATGGTGACTGACCTTTGAATTGTATTAGACCTGGATACTTTGTCCTGCATCGAATTCAGTCTTGCTCAAGAGATAGAAACTGCAACCCAACAGTGAAATATAAAAACAATTTGCCTCAGAGTTCAATTATCATTGCATTGAAACAGCGAGAAATCTGTTTGGACTCTTCATTGTCACTAATATAAACAGTATACGTGCGTATGAATCTGTTCCAGTTCAACTTGCAGTGATGGATGACTGAATGCTCTCTCTATATGTGATGGAATAGGGTAAAAAGGGATCATGAATGCCAGAATACATTGGGATGTTGCCATACATTTCAAACAAACAAAATGTGTACACTAGTGAGTGAAAACACAATGAAACTGGTTGACAAAAACAGTACCTGTCATTTAGTAGCTGTTTGAGAGCTTTCAGTCGTATCACATGGTCTTCCTCTGCAGATAGGGTTTGCCCAGTTGTCAGGGAATTGTTTAAATTTACCTTACACTAAGCACTTGAGATTGATTTGTCGGCTGCTGTTTCCAATGTCAAGAATGAAGTCTGAAACTCAACACTAAAACTGGTATTTCTCTTCAGTACGTATATCAAAATTCTAGAAAACACTCAAAATACATTAATTCTGACAAAAAAACATTACCTTTAAACTGTGCTTTTACATGCATCTCAAATATCACAATGCCCAGAAAATGATGAGCGCTGATAAAGTGCAAAATTACAACCTCCAACAGTAAACCCTATATACTGCAGCATATATATGGCAGTATTAAATGGCTTTTTATTATATGCTTATTGAAAAATCCTCATCCATGAGCGGTAGACCCATCTTTAGCCTTTTAAATCGTCAGATGATCCTCCAGAACTGTTAAATGCATGATATTTATTAATACACATGGTGAAATGTTCCTGTCCAACAGCACTGATTATGGACTGGAGATATGAAAAGAAAAACACTATGAGTCCTTTGGGTGTTTCCAGCATGTAACACAGAGGCCAAGCAAGCTTTGTAGGCGTATGCATGTATTTTACATAAACACCTTAAAGGCCTTTTTCTGAGTTGTAGCTTGACGCCAAACAGAAAGAGAAGGAAAGTGTAGTTTTTATGAAGCAAACATCTCTGATGGCATCAGGAAGTAACAGCATTTGTTTAGCCATCTCAGGCAAATTGTTTACTTCACTACATTCGAATCACCCGACAATCTTTACTTTACTGCTCCTTCAGTAACTGTCCTTCAATGCCACATTGAACACTAGTTTTTGATAGTCACCTTATATATAATAACTTAAGCTTTAATCTGTGCTGATCAAAATAACGGACTGTAAATGCCCTCGTAACTTCGTAACAAAATATCTTAAACTGTGGAAGCTACGTCACTTTCTCTTCCCTCTCTTGTGATTTTATTGTCCAGTCTGCAGATAAAGAGGAAACCCAGAAAACCTCAGCAAAAAATACTGTTAGAGATGGTCCTTAAAATGTAAAATTCATACGTGTGCAGATACACAAATACATTAAACACATTTAGCTCCCATCAAATCAATTATGTTTGATTTGTGATGTCTTTAATATCTCCTTCTTCTCCTTAGGCAACAGGAAATTCTACTATTACACCCCAGTGTTACACCGGTGTATCCTCCTCAAGTCTTGTCCCATATTACCATAACCGTCGTCCAGTGTAGTTAATTGGGGCTGTGGGCATCTTAAAGACAGAGACAAACAAGTAGCGAACTGTTAAAATACTCCTGTAGTTAGTTATTTAGTAAATGAGACTGAGTGAAATACACACAGTGCGTGTTTCTTCCATACTTACTGTTCCACCGTTCATGACCAGAGCCATCTCAGTGGGTTGGTAGACGTGACCTCTGAAGGCGATGCCAGGACGGACACTCCCGTGGCTGCTGTGGTATGTTCCAGTTCGGAGAGCTGACGGACCAAACGAGATAAAGCACACACACAAGTTACGGGTGTCCTGCAAGAGTACCCTTCATGATAGATGACTGTGCTGCTGACTGATACAAATCATACATGCATCAAACTCGAGGTTGACGTATAATTTTCCTACCAGCTGGGTAACTCTGAGGCCCTTCACGCTCATAGTAAACCCACACAGGTAATTTTAATTATTATGGTTAATTAGACCTTGACAGGATTGTGTGGGCAGATGTAGTCTGTGCTTGTTTGACATCTCCAGGCCTCTCCTGTATGCTTTGTTGGGCTGGATGAATTACACCCTTATAATGCTTATTGATACAAGGAGATTGGTGACGTCATGTAACAGAGTTGTGAAGTAGGAGGAGCTATTTGAGGCGCTCTTGGTTCTGGAAGTAAAAGTCTCATTCATTTTTCCTAGAGGCAAACTTACCCGACAACAACTTGGACCGAAAGCTTGACAGTGTTTGATAAAAAGGTACTGTACAAGCCTGTGGACATAAAAAATTCTACTACGATTCCCATTTCGGCAAGAAATACCCCTAGTTTATCACCTAGCCTGAAACTCTGTGACATGCACTGCTAACAGCTCACAGTGTTAAAAACAACATTAAATCACAATCTGCAGCTCAAATCAACCCTCTTTTAATTTCTGGGTCAGTTTTGTATGAATTCAGCAACTTTGGCTTTCACTCTAATTGTTGCCTTTGAGTGGCTGTTAATCCATGGCAATGGAGGCTGAGGCTCATGGGTGTTTTGAGTCATGCCATAATTGCTTAAAAAGATGAAATAATTACAACTGGTGGCCACAGCATAAACCTATGTGATCATACATCCGGGAGAGTCCAGTTTTTCTGTGTGAAGAAACATTTATCAGATTTTTAAAAATGGAAATACAGGGGCGCCCTGTTAGCTCAGTGGGTAGAG